TTTATTAGGAATAAAGACTTCTGAGTTCTGGTGCATTTCTGCGTGTGGGGGTCATTATGTTACCACTATGCGGTATCTAGTTTATAGGTAATTCTGATGGATTTGACAGAAAGATCATGGAAAGAAATTGGTATATTTCAGTAAGCAACAGGCTAGCATGAGCTAACGTTTTACTTTTTGTATTAGTAGTATTGATCACATGTTTGCATACACATTGATTTCTGTTGTGGGTATAAAAATAAAAATGTTTCTGTTATGTTTGATCACATTTTCAAAGAGCCACAAAGAGACACATGTGGCCTCAGAGCCACAGGTTGCAGACCCCTGGTTTAGCAGGTAGCCCCCCCCACACCCGTGTTAACCAAACTCTGCAAGTTCCCTCTCCTGCACACGTCCCCCCATCTGCAAACAGGAGGGCATCAGAAAATAGATAAACACCCCTCTGAGCACGAGCGCAAATTGATGTGTTACGAGGAAACGAACATGAATAATGAAAGCAGGCGTCCTGATGTGTCCTGATGTGTGTGTGTGGGTTCAGGCTAGGTGCATTTGGAAGTTGGAGAGATGAATTTGGGGCTTCTGCTGGCGGGCTGCAGTGTTGTGGGATCGAGGCATCTGAATATCTGTGTGTGTGTGTGTTTAAAGAGATAGGCGGGGGGTGGCTCAGCATGAGAGAACAGTTAATTAACGCTTCCTCACTGTCACACTGTCAATACATGTTCGGGGCTCACGCAAGCTCCTCCCCCGCAGAGCCCAGGGAATCGCACAAATTAAAACTGGGTTAAGTGTGTTCAATTATTTTCATTTTTCTCATTAAACTACCGAACACCGAGCTGGAATGTGTGTTGCTTTGCTCTCGTCTTCTCCCTGATCGTGAAAAAAACAAAACAAAACAAAAAATAAACGTTTAATTGACTTCGTGAAGTCACGGTGGGTKGGGGGGCGAGGGGGGGAAGTGTGAAAAGAAGATGCCAAAAGGGGAGAAAAAGGTGAGTTAGATCAAACATTTCAGGTTTCCAGRTAAAAGATGGCGACGGAAAAGAAAACATGCCTCAATTGTTTTTTTTTTTATTATTTACATTCGTCTGCACGCATTCAGCAGCTAATTACACACATCCTTTGTACACGGCTCCCCAATCGTCTTAATGGCTGCAATAAAACAGTCAACAAATAAGAAAACTTCCATATTGTTTCACGTTGATGTGTTAAATTGGCTTTTCTGGGTTTTAATTAACCGCTCCGAAAACAATTCCTGTCCCTCTCCTCTTGTGTGCGCCCTCTTCATTTCACTTTTAAAATCACTGCGCGAGTGTTTTCTCTCCTTAACTCTCAGCAGGGGTGGTCAGTGCGCGCTCAAGCTGAGAGGCAGTGATAGGATTGTCTATCGGTTTCTTCCCCTCACTTGGGCTTTGCATCGACCGGCGGAGGGGCTAAAAATGCCGGCTGCTGTTTGTGAAGTCGATCCTCGCACCCCGAGGCCTCCCCCCCGTTTGCAGCTTTCTTTTTCGCACTCGCTGCCTCGCATGTCAGCACGGAGAAGCATCTTTTGTAAAAAATTTAATCCATCACTCTTGTAGAGATGCACAATAAATAGGCCTACAGCCTTCTGTTTGAAGATCAAATGGCTAAAACGACGGGTGGCAGAGGCTCGCCTTCCATTTTAATCAGACGCCTTGTTGTGCAGCCAGCAGCCACCTCGGCGGCCATGTCTAATCAGGAGTTTTGTACAAGTACTACAGTGGGTCTAAAGTGTTGTAAAGCTGTTCTCACAAGCGGGCTCAAAAAAGGACTTAGAGATGCGCAGATCTCACTTTCAAGTCAGAAAATCTATGGCTGCTGTCAGTTTGAACCCTCATCTCTGTCCCTGATGTGACAACTTGTGAGTCAGACATCTGTGTTAAACGGGCTCATTATGGTGAAAAGCACAGAGAGCTTTGATTTGGATTGAATGTGTCAAAGTGCACCTTATAATTCCTACCAGAGCATCATTTCTGAAGTGCCTGTATCAATTTCTATCTGAGCTGCAGGCCTCTAAGCCTGAGTTTGTGGAGCCAGAGTGATACAAGATAAAACCTTTTGACAGGCGAGTCTCCAGCCGATGAGCAGATCGATGAGGGTCCACACACCATCCTGACCAGCAGGGGCTACAGGCCTCTGATGCTGCTAATCACACAGCCCCGGCCTGCAGGCTACAAATCTGCTTAAGTGTTTGTGTGTGTGTTTACTGTACCCGAGTGAATCAGTGTTTAAGGGCACATAGAACAACCTGCACACAAATTAGCTCCATTAGCGAGTGTTGCTAGCGCTAGTCCACTGTGCTGCGTTTGATTGTGTGTGCAAGCATAACAAATGCCAGAAGCTTCAAGTCGGGATCAAAATAATCAGCTTACCTTTGAGTTCTGGACCTCCAGAGTGACGTTTTGAGGAGGAGCGCTGGGAACTGTGGAAACAACAGACAATATATGAAACATCATTAAAGTATCTAAATCAGGCTTCAGCTAGTCAAAATATACAGTTTTATTGCTATTTCTTAAAAGAATGTGTATCACCTACTGTTTTTCATGCTAGTTTTAAACTAAAATTATTTTTTGTTGACAAACGACAGAGTTATATTTGCGCTGATTAAATCTTAAAAACAATATTACCGTATTTATTCATCAATATGATCTCGAGTATATTACGACCCTCATTTTTTTTTAGCTTAAAAAACATTTTAAAAAATCTAATCCTCATGTATATTGCTACCACTTTAAGATTTTTCATCCCTCCGGCGGGGAAACATTATTTGGGGACACACTCGAGAATGAGCAGCGCGAGCTTCTGGTTCCACGTGTGTCACTGAAAAAAACAAACCGGTCACAATTTACTCCCATTTATAACAAAACCCCGTTACTTTATGGATGATTTGGGGGGGTAAATTTCTCATAGTACARTTTTGCACTATGTTCTGTAAATGGYTTTCAGTTGTAAACAAAAGCAAGGAATTTTTGAATTTTTTTTTTACAAAAACCCTTTGAGTTTAATTTACTTTAACCCCCAAACAATCATTTAACGATGTAAACATGTTAGAAGCCTAAAAAAAAAAAAAAAAAAAAAAAAACACAGACAAATTGTGTTTAGTAAGTATTTTGATTTAAAACCTGTTTTTTTAATTGATAATTGTGTAAAAGGAGGCTTTTATTGAACACTGTTAATGCTAGTTTAATTGAAGGCTGATAGTAACTCAGGAGAGTTCTGATGGGACAGGTCTTCTAGAACAAGAACCTACATCCAAATCCACTGATCAGTATCAGAGACTACATAAACCAAAAGSAGCTGTAATCAAAAGTGCGTAGGACTGGATGATCGTGGTTTGTGGTGTAAAAACATGTTGGCTTTACACAACTGTTGTGCAAAACAGAAAAAAATGACTCTTTGATTTTGTTGTCAGATATTTCAATGCRAACTGAAGATTCAATATGAGTTTAGTTACGACTCCACAGACATTTAACTCAGGAAAGTGAAGGGAATTGATTCTTTTTACTACTGACTGTTAACACATCACACATACTTATTCCTAGGAGAACTAGTGTGTTCTGATAACCTATTTTGCAAAATAACCCATTTTTATGTGATGTAGTGATGTACAGTCTGTTTTAAGTTGTTCTTGTCATGGTCATTTCCAGCAGAGTGTACTCTTGTGATATGATTAGTTAATACACACCTGAAGCATTAAAACACGTAAAGATTGTAACATTAGAACTCAGTTTTCTGTTGTCTAAAGGTTACACGACTTACAGGATACGACATAATGAAATAAAAAAAATTTAAAATGCCCTTTTGGATGATACAGTGAAGCCCGGCACAGTTGTGTTTCACAGTTTACAAACTCTTTTTTTAATAGAACCCAACTCCGGTAATCCCCGTGATAAGAGTGGAAACTAGAAATACAATAAATACCATTCAGTAAGGAACGTCAGTTTTTTTTTCAAGCTAAATTATTAAGAAAACAATTTAGTAATTTTGTAACACAAATCCATCCATTATCTATACCCGCTTCTTCTTTTCAGGGTCACTGGTGCCCATATCCAGCAGTCGCAGTGGGAGGGGTGGGGTACACCCTGGACAGGTCTCAAGACCATCACAGGACTTATAAATATTAACGTAAATTCAGTTCCATAAAACTCAATACAGTTCAGTACGTGATGCGGGCCCTGTGCCAACCGTTTAGCTCTCATGTGTTTTTGTTTGGTTCTTACTCCATAACAATGCCATCCCAAACGTGCTGCAGGCCTTTTCTGCACCACATCCCACACTCCAGTTTTTTTCACGATTCACGGGTACTTTAAGACCGTAACCYTCACTGCATTCATTTCATCCCTCAACTGACCGTCTGAGAGCGTGCGGACAATCACATCCTCAGTGGACACTCCAGGACCGTGCTTGTTGTTGGCCACCACACGGAAGCTGTACTCCGTGTTCTTCTTCAGTCCCGTCATCACGTAGGACTGAGAATCTGTGTCCACATCCTGGAAAACAAAACAAGACAAAACAAGACAAAAGACAATTGTATTTTTTTTTAGTCTGGTATTAAAGTTTGATCTTTAAGGTACAAAAACAAGAAAACAACCTAAAGTGAGTGTGAAAAGTGCATGTTTTCCTACACTGAAACATTCAAAGTGTTAAACTCCTGACAGCATCTCTTTGAGTGCAGACTTTGAACAAGAAGTAAACAAGACATTTCAAACAGCTACTATAATTTCTGTTTCTAACTCAGTAAAAAAACGTTATTTTCTGCAAAGCCAAAAAACCTGTTATCTGTGATTACAACTTTATTCTACACCCATCTCTTCAGACCTTTTCATTACATCCAGCTCTTTACTTGTGACATTTAAAAAACAAAAAGCACAGTGTTTTTGTCTTCATCCCCAGCCTGCGGTCAGACCATCACCTGCGACAGCATGGCCCCTGGACTGAGCTGGATACGTGGTCTCTGACGTCCCTGTGCCCTTTAATATTTCATGTCCTCTCTGCACTGCGCCTCTCTAACCTCACCTCTGGTTCGTTTTCTCGCCCCTCATCATCATCTCCAGCCTCTTCCACCTCATCTCTGGCTCGCTCTTCTCCAGGGAGCCGARGCATCATTACTCAGTGCACCGGCTGACGTTTCGTCCATTATCATATTAAAGGCTTTTTAATGCCTCACTGGCTCGCACAACGCTACAAAAACTAAGAGGTCGACTTGGCGTCGGAGCAGCCTTATTCCACCTTTTACAAGCCGGTCGCCTCAGCAAGAACAGAGTGAAAGAACATCTGCTCCTTYTCAGCACAATGCACTCTTATTTATCGAGGCGATTGATCCGAGAACGAAACCCGAGAAAAATAAGAAAAGGCAGATTTATTTCGAAGTCCTTATCTTAYTACAATTACCTTTATTATACCCCTGAAAATCAAAAGCCAGCTGCACAGACAAAGCGTGAGAGTTAAAACACAAATTATAGTTTTAATGACAAAACATTTAAATTGCTCTCTAGTAAATTTATTCAAGGATTTGTCAGGGTCATCCTTTTAGTTTGCAGTATTTATCTGAAAACCTTAATTTTATGATCTCACTCAATTCACCCCTGAATAATTWGTTTTCCCTTTCATCAGCATTAATCTCAGTAATAACTTGAGGAATCCGTTTGTCCGCTTTTCTCGACACCAGTKCTCCACTCCTGTGTGATGGAAAACACAGATATACGGCACAGATTCTGCTCCGCCAGGACGAGATCCTACCTGTTCACTGCCAACACTTCTGTCTGTATAGTACACTTTGTAGGTGAGGATCTCCCCGTTGCCTGTGAGGGGTTTGTCCCAGCTGAGAGAGACRGAGGTCGGAGAGTTCGACACCGCCTGCAGGTTGGGAGCGGGGCCCGGGACTTGGACTGATCAGTGGGGAAACAAAAGTGCAGCAATTAGAAAGATAACTCAACCAAACCCTGTGATTAGGWTTTTATTTAATGTCGTGGTTGTCTCTGGGACAGATAACATACATATTTTTGATGTTGTAATAAATAAACCAAAGTGTAGTGTATTTAGGAAGTGAACCAACACACTGTATGCTTCAGACTTCCTGGAGCTTTCCTACACTCTGGTAAAATCATCAGTGTGTTGCGTCATGCTGGTAAAGCCTGAAGGCAGTATTTAACAAAGCTAGTATRGAGCTGTGTCTGTGTAGAAACATCCAAACATGGCCGGTCCAGCACATCTGCAGCATACAGGACTGTTCAGGCCAGCAGGGGTCCCCCATCAGCATCTAACTACCCACAAAAGACAAGTTGACCCACAGTTTGATCTACGATGTTTGTAACATGAGACAAACGCTACAAAGTTTCACATTTATGTTAAAAGACTTATAATTTATTACTACTAATGTTTAAAAATCTGCTTAAAGAGTAGCTGTTTCATTTCCATGGTGGCCTAAAGACAACATTGAACTTAGCTCCACCCTCTAAGTCCACTTAGCCTTTGTTGATACGATGTGAACTCAACTAAGAGAGTTCCCTGACTCAAAGAAAWGACACTTTCTGCTCTTTTATTCACAGCAGTTTATTAGATTTTACTCTAAGTGCCATTTATTTCTACAAGAATATGAAATGATTGAATGGTTTCGTAAAGAAACCACAATCTGGCATGGGATCAGTAAACTGTTGGCTCACTGTGTGAAACTAGCGTTAAAAGCTCTATGCACATATAAAAAAACCACGGGTCATACACAGATGGTGGTGTTGTGGTGGTGAGCAGAAGATGGTCTAACGGAAAAGGAGGTTAAGAATAAAATTCTGCCCAGGGACCCCTTACAACCTGTAGCCAGTGCTGACTTTAAGGCAGTCAACATGTTAAACGCTCAATGTACCACCYGCGATACATTCCCAGCTTGTGGTTACTTCCTGCCTCTTCATAGCCTGACCCACGCTACCGAGGACTTTGAATTGTTATATACAGTAAGCTGTTTAAACAATTTAATTGGTTGTCTTCCTTTGATTGACACCTCTTTTGATCAACTGGGTTCAACTATAGGCTCTACAGAGTACAAAATGTGTGGCAAGCCCCTCATGTCCCGCCCACAGGACATGTGACTGATTGACAGTAGAATCGGCTAATCAGCTCTGAGCTTCATTCTGACACCACAGCTGTGCAGCCAAACAAGTTACTGTTTATTCAGTATGCTGCCTTGGAAATAAGAAAAAAAWTGATGGTTTTAGTGTATTTTATCTTCAATAACTAAGTACTTGTTACAGTTACAATAATTATGAGTGCTGAAATTAAAAACTCAGATTGATAGTTTTACATACAGACTAGGCCTGCAAATTTACTCCAAAGTGTTTAAGAGCAGTACTTAATTTAATTTGGGTTAGGCCCGCAGGTTTACAGGTTAAAACTGAGCAGTCCTGTAAACTCAACAGGAAGTAAAAGTAGGAAATTGGTCCTAAATAACCCAAATATTAACGTAGTTAAACTATAAAACAACAATGTTATCTAAATCTTAGGTTAAGATGCATGTCTACAGTTCATTCACTGATTTATTTCCTACAACATCTCAGTTTTATGTGTCATAACAGTCAGCAGACACGTTGTAGAAACCAGGTTTCTGCTGACATAACTTCAGTTTTTTAATCTACTTGGATTTGTTTGTTGTTTTCCAAAGAACACCAGAGGATTTCTTCATTTCATGCTGCATTCCTACAGAACCGACCGAGCGTCGGTCCCAGCAGCCTTCACACTGAAGTCCTGAATYTCTGACAGAATTTGCCACGGGCTGTTTTCGATCACGACAGCAGCGGCGTCTGAATTTCTTTACAGAGCGAGGAAGGACCGGCTTCTTGGAGTCAGAACCAAAAACATTTTGTTTTGTCATTTTCCAAACGGGTTTGTAGAAAAACCATCGACATCCAGGAGATGAGTCAGTTTTATCCTGTGTTCGAGTGCAGAGAGCTTTAAAATGAGACGTGTCTGACCGTGTGGTGCTGTCTATTCGTAAAAATACAGTAAAACTTATAGAAATATAATCRATCTCCCTTTAGGAGGAATTGACAAAAGTTTGCTGATGACAAACATCTCATCACAGTGTTTTAAAAGAGAAGAGGGAACGACACACAAACCATAAAGATACACAAATATAATGGCTAAAGATGAGTTTCTGTCAACAATCAGGTTATGGACAGCTGTCAGCCTTTAGGAAAGCAGAAGAACAACAAACTGTGGTGGAAAAGGACATCTGGTTTTGATGTGTCCTTGTGTCTCATTACCTTTGATCTGAACCCTACTGGTCTTAAAGACATCCTGTTTTTAAATCCTTCTTTGTCGTAGTTAAAGTTTCATTCAGCTGGGATCTATATAAAGTGGAACTGCAATGCTTTGGTCTGAATTCCTCCTTATTGTAGCTCCACAAACCCCTCTTTCACCCATTTYCTGAAGTGTGTCTCAGATCAACTCGTTTTGAGGCTGTCTCTTTAAATCACACTCCGCCCACCTCCAGCTTCCACAGCAGTTCATTTCAGTTTGATAGAGGAGTTTATGACTATATAGCGGCACAGAAACATTTTATTTACAAATTAAAAGTTGTCAGCAACAGAAGACTTGTCCAATCAGCCTCACATGTTGGAGCCAGAGTCTGACCCAGAGAGAGAGGAGAATGAAGAAGATGAAATTGTAGTTGGTAAGTCCAGACCTTATATGTCGGTTCTGTCGCAAATACTGTGACATAATAGTTCAGAAAGCATCATAGAGAAAACTGAACAGGTTGAAAGAAATGAACCAATTCAACTTTTTTGAAATCCTAGAGACTCCAAGTGCAACAACAAAATGTATTTAATTGCTAAAAAAACTAGATTTGTCATGATGTGTTCTATTTAAACAATCAGAAGAAAATCTAACTGAGGTGGAACAATAATTGAGCTCTATGTGGTGTTTCCTGAATAGAAACAGTGTTTTAACACATCCTCTTATAAACACTGAAAAATACTATGTAAATGTGAAATAAATATGACAAATACTATTAAAACTAGAAGTTTTACTCACTGCTGAGTTGTGGYAAATCTTGAATTCTCCCACTTTCCGACAGGGAATTCCCATACATAATTAACATGCATTATGGGAGATGTAGTTTATGGCTGATAAAGCAGCTTATTTTGAGACATTAATACAGGACTATTCAACTAAATTGTTCAGGGGGCCACAGTTAATCAATCACAACAGCTCAGGTGCATGAAAATTATTAATATCTTTTACCTTATGTGCTTATTTTGTTACATCGGATCATAAATTCTAGTTTAAAGTTTAAMCTCAATGTAAAACCTATTAAGTAAAAAAATATTACAAAAATATACAAATAGAATAAATGCTTTTTTTTCTTTTGGTGGACCGGACAGAAGTCACCCACGGGCCACATGTGACCCACAGACCTTGAGTTTGACACGTGAGATGGTAACATTAGTTGTTGCCCTCGGGCAGATGTACAGTATGTCTTTACTAAGTAACACACACACACACACGCACGCACGCACGCACACACACACACACACAGCCAGTCTCTGTGGAGAACAGATGCAGGTCAACAGTTTAAGCTCTAACTCATACAAGTCCTCACACTGAAGGTGCACACACAGAGGTACGGCCCGCCCTCACTCATGTCCCTGCGGGGGGGGGCTCAGCTCCTGCTGGCAAAAGCTTTATGGCCTAATGTGTGTGTTTTTGTGTGTGTGGAGTCGCCGGCCCAGAAAMMAAAAAAAAAAAAAAAAAAAAGACAGGTAGGAAAACAGAGGCTGACCTACAAAGCGACAGAGATGGAGCTGTGGCTCTGATCGGAGGAGAGGGATGTCCACAGGCTGACTGTGTTTGGCGGGAGGGGCTACACGGCTCGATGAAATATGGGTAAACCTGAGGGGCTGTGGAGCAGCCGCCACCGGGAGGCTTTCACACACAATGAACTGAAGAAAAATGAAGAAGATAAAGCCACTTTGTCTCTTCTTCCCCCGGTGCTTCCCACACCCTGCCGCCTGTTAAAGCGTCCTAATGAGCCGCTCCGCTGCACCTCTATAAAGCCCATAAAAGTGTTGGGACTCTGGAATGCTAATTTCCAACCACTTCCTCGCTCAGGTAGGTTTGGCTCTGAGCCAAACGCGCAGTGAGGTTTCAGTAAATGCTGAGGGAGTAAACAAGAGGAAAAAGGTTGAGGCTCTCTGGTTTGTGTTGGGTGGTCCGCCTCGTGGAGTGGTACACAGCCTCCTGTGTTGTGCGCTGCTGGCACGTGGAGGGGAGATGAGTTGGAGTCTGAATTGACTCCCTGCTGCATCTGAGTGAATATTTATTTGATCATATTTGCACAGTTTTGGCCCTGTGTTCGAATGCATCCTGTTTACCTCGGTGTGATCGTGTTTCCACTGGTCGGAGTTTCCCTTCATGGTTCTGTGTGTTGTTTACTGAGTACATACAAACTAACCGTTATGTATATATGTGTGTGTGTGTGTGTGTGTGTGTGTGAGTGTACCTTCAGCTTGGGTGGCCACTTTGAGCGCTGCAGAGCTCTCGCCCGGCCCGTTGCTGTTGTGAGCCACGACTCTGAAGCGATATTTGGTGTCGGGCATCAGATTCTGGATGGTGACCTGCATCTCTCCTGGACGGCTGGTGTTCACCACCCGCTCCCTGACGAGGAAACACAATAATTTAATAAAGTCAATGCAATCTTCAAAGAAAGAGTCCATTAAATTTAGGTTTTTATAAAATCAACTTTCATATCGTCAGTAAAGGGCAACAAAACTTCACTTATTTCAACGCTGCAGGGAGAACTTGACTAACATTTACCTTTTTAAATATCAAATAAAAAAACATTAAAAACATTAGTGTGATAAAAAGTGCTGCTATAAATATAATTTAGTCTAATAACCCACATTTATATCAAAATCAGAGTCGCTCATACWGGAGAAGTACTGTCCACGGACGGCAAACAGACACCACTGAACACAAAAATGATTTATTGTAAAAAGAGTATATAAATAATGTGTTTCTGATCTCCATGTTATGGCCTTTTATAATGTATTTTCTTTGGTTTTTAATTGGTTATTTTTTTAATGATATAGATTTTATTTTTCATCTTTTGCTTTAAAACAACCAGACTTTCTTCTAATCATTCAGCGGTCTTGATCAACATTTCTCCAGACTTTTTCAAGTTCTTTTAAAGTTGGTCTCATTACAGAAGAGAAAATAAGAGAAAAAGCAATCCAAGTAAAAAAAATTAAATAAAACACACACACACATACATTAAAAGCCTTTCAGAAACTTTGGAGAAAATGTCCGGTTTGCTTGAAAGCGGTGTAAGGAAAAAACAAGGGATGAGAGGGGTTTAAAAGTTTTGCACTACATTGAGTGTATGTTGACAAATGTGTATATTTTTAGGAACGCTCTCTTCTTTTTTAACTTTTATTTTTAACACAGACTTTTCACTTTATGTCTGAATATCTCTAATGAGGAAAGAGCAACGTTTACTTCAGAAACATAGGATATCTATCAGGAAAGCATCCATTTTTTGTGCCAGTATTGAATAAACATACAGTTTATATAATTTCTAATGTAAGATCATGTGCCATGTCCTCTTTTTCCAAAACGTCCTTCAGAAAAGGATCCACCTGAGCATCCTGTCTCCTCTCATCCTTCCTCCAGAAGCCTTCCAGCTTCTAAAACCATCAGTACAGCTTTCTCCTTCATCTTCCTCACTGGTTCCTGCAGTGTTGGTGTGGATGTCTGCCGACATATTTGACTGATATGTTTGTAGTCTCTAAACACTAGTTGGTGGGTTTATTTCTTCCTGAACTTAAATAACTTAAAGTTAACTTTTAACTATATACCATGTGGAGAATTTTGAAGTGAGAATTAGTCAAACAGTTATCAATAATCAGCTGTGGCGTCAGTCACAGAGTATGAAGAAAAGTGCAGAAGTCGTCCTGCTAGCGAGGCTAATGGCTCGCTAAATGAGGACACCTTCTTTTTAAACCATTAATCGTGAATTAAACCATTAATAAAACAACTCTTTTTAAAAAACAAACTAATTTTGTGTATTAACATGGAAGCTGTTCAGGTGAGAAACCAAACAGACTAATGTAAGAGTATCAGAGGTGTAGGTTTTAGATGCTTATTTACTTCAGCACACCTGATTTGAACGAACGATTTTTTTCATTCTCATAACAGGTTTCTACAGAACTTGATGAAGAGCAGGACATCTACTGAAATATGAAGGGAAAGGGGCCTTTGAGGACCAGGATTGGACACCACTAGTGTAGAGGTTTAAATTTAGCTAATGCAACAATTTTAACAATGAAATTCTTTCATAGTTGTTTTTAAAAGTTGTCTTAAAAGGATGAACTATGTTCGAACACCGGCCTAGCTTTTTAGTAGTGTAATATGTTTGGTTTGTGATCCAACTCCAGAGTAACCAGACTGCATTTAGTTTTTGAAAACAGACGAGCAGCAGCTAAAGTTAAAGTCTTGAACTCTGGTTGTGATGTCTGATAACTGCAGTGTGTTCAGTCACTGCCTTTGCAGAAACTTTATGAAAACCAGTTGTTGTTAAAACTCCTGAAATCGCTCTTCTGAAACCTCCAAGTTATTTGGCAGAGGAWATACTTTCCTCTCAGTTAAACTCAGTAACTCCTCAACACAAGAACCCAAAATGGACGACTCCACTTTCTATTCTGCAGCTTGCGTTGAATTATTAATTAACTGCTGCTCTTAGTGTTTTAATTGCTTCGATAAGACACTTTCAGGGCCGTCTGACAGCACCTCCAGCGGCAACCCCACCGGTGCGTTGAAACCCCCGCTGGTTCGGCTGCGTTCTTTACCTGCTGGTGCCGTCCTGGCTGTAGAAAACCGAATAGGTTAACTCGTCCCCGTGCGGCTCGGCCGGCTGGCGCCAGGTCAGCTTGATGAAGCGGGTGGAGACCAGMGAAGCCACGACGTCTCGCGGGGCGGAGGGGGTGGGGCCTGCCGGTCCGGCCACGCCTCCGGAGCCTGGTGTTACATGGTCAGCAGTGTTAGGAGCCAGTGAGGGGGGAGGGAAGGAGGGCAGGGTTACGTCTTTGGGACGGAGGGAGGGAGAAGGAGGTAATGTGGGGCGGGAGGGGAGGGTTGAGAGAAAATATTGCACCCCACGTGGACAGGTCGAGGAGAGGGGGGGAGAGAGAAGTTGAAATGGAAATGACAGTGACACGAAGGAAAGGAAGAAAACAAAACAGAAAAAACAAAATAACATAACGAAAAAGACTCTCCGTGTGACAAAGGAAGCACAGAAATAAAACACTTCTCCACTCACAACGCTGACAACAGCACGTTACAGGGGAGACTAAACATGCAAACCCAAACACAGCTCTCTAATGTGAGGGAGCGAAACACATCATCACACATTGCACTGGGAGATAAAAGAGCCATCAAGCCAATCATTTGGGAGGCAGAAATGATTGGCTTGCATATTTTGTGACGGTTTTCACCAACTCCAAACTGGACCGGCACTTGGTGACAAACAGAGTCACCTCGAGCCGTTTCATGAGATGATAAGAACCTGAAGTGTGTATTCTGTCAGCCGAGGCACAGGATGGTGCTGTTAAAACACTTTTATTGTCACATTCCACAGCTTAGCCACAAAAATGTTTGTGATTTTATTTGGTAGGCTTTTTTTTCTCCCCCCCTTGCCTTTTTGGAGGAACAATCTGCGGTCAGACTCAGCAAGATCTGCTCTCAATTTGCTTGGCAACTGAGMGAAACAAAACTATACGGAAAGCACGCCGGCCTGCATGACATTTCCATTTGTTTGTAGGTCGGAGAAATCAACAGCGGGGCAGGAGCTGAAACAAAGAAACGGAGCCCGACCGGCGCAGCGGTGAAACTGTGGATAATCACTGCGAAAATGGCGACGAAAGGCAGGGAGTCCTGCGCCGTGGCACGCTGACAAACTGCTAATTTGGCTTTCAGTGTTTGTTTACTTCTCAAGTCCTCTGATTTCTGTTTTTTCCTTGCTCGTACCTTTTCAACATCACCACTGAGAAAAAACAGAGTGAAGGAGTTTCAGCTTTATGGCGCAGTCRGTTTACGAGCTCTGTGCTTTTACTGACTCATGCTTTGCATATTTTTGTTGGAGCCTCGGTGCTCGGCAGCACAACGTGTGTGCAATGAGACGACGATTAGGAAACCAAATTACAGGAAGTAAGGCTCAATTTGAGAGTGTTTACATCCACTTTTTATCACGTATTTAGCTGCAGAAGGGAGGATCTCGCTGTAACTTGCTGTAAAAGTCTAGAATATTTGATAAATATGTCCACAAACGGTGATTTCGACTCTTCAACAGGTTATGATCCAATCAGCTGTTTGGCCTCAGAGCCACAGTTTCAGATCCAGTTTATTGGAACGGAGCCAACAACAATGCAAAACACATTACAGGTCCAGTACTTTATGGCCAATACTTTAGTGCCAGATGCTGAGTAATTATCCTCATTTAGACGGTGATGCATTCACACACAGTCGGAAAAAACACAACTTAACTCCAACCAGGATTATGGAGCCTGATGGTTGGCAGGAGGACGCTTCCTACATTTATAAAACATGAGATCACAATCCAGACAATACAGTGGGCTCGTCTACATAGTGGCAATTCACAGGAAACACAGATGAAAACCAAACATATAAAAAACTGGTCTTTGTTAGAAAACAATCCTCATAAACTGGACAGCTTCCTAAATGGTTGCTACTTGAGCTTTATTAGCGACCTTTATTCATTTAAATGTCATCATGTTACAGATCCCATCATGAAAACAAAATAAAGAACACCATGTCAAAATTCAGGAGGCATAAATGTACTGCGGGCGAGTTTTGTATGATCACCTTGTGTCTGTAGAAATTAGAATACAGAGTTTGAGACAAAAACAATGAATTTAATCAATCAGGCATGGATGATGAATGTTAACTGAGCTTCATCTTCAGATCAAAACCAAAAGAAAAAAAAAACAAGACAGAACTCGACGCTAAACATCGCTGATTTCCCCCATCGTCGTTCAGTAATGACCAACTGAATCCTCACAGAGCTTCATTATGTAAATAATCTCATAAAGTGAACAGACAGATTAGGTCAAGAGGGTCAGAGATGGAGCTGTCCAAGCCAAAAAAAGTCACTTCCTGTTGTCAGGGGGTGGGGCTTTAATGATGTCATATGCCCATATGGTATTGTCTGGCGTGCAACATGGATGACTCATACCAAGTCTGGTGTGTTTTAGCCTTCCTATGTGAAAGTTACAGCTGTCTGAAATAGTAACGGATGGAGGGAAGGAGAGCATTTTGAATCGCCCTGCCTCTGCGATGAGGGACAAAAAATAAGCCACAGCGAGGAGTTTGTTTGGCATCTGCAAACTGTGGTCCAGCTCATAATAACTGAGACCAGAGGTGCTGACAGGATCCTGTACGAGTGGGGCTTAGCTCATCCAAGAAAGAAAAAAAAAAACAGGCTACATTCTGTCAGGAGTTCTCACTGTTAGCGGCTAAAAACTGAATGTTCTGATCGTTTTTGATTCATCAACCCGTATCACTGAGTTTAAACTCCTCTCTTCTATGTCAACCGTTACTCAGTGAGAAAAGTGGTGAGAAAGTGTCTTCACTCTGTTTTTTAATCTCTTTATCACCTGTTTAGATCTCAGTCTGTCTCCTTCACGCCTCTCATCAACCCAGACCACAAAACCACAAACATGAAACTGTTCAGGTTTACTTTCTCAGAAACTCATTCAGCACCATGCTAACTGTTTGAGCACAAGTGAGACTTAAAATAAGTATACTCTGATTTCTCCACTTTTGCTTTCTGCTCAGATTTTCTAACTATACTGAAACTGGAGGCACTTTAGTCAAGTCTGTAACAAGACGAGATCCAAGGCCCCGAAATATAATTTCAGAAATATATCTATGTTACAGATTAATCTGCTTCTTAAAGTCAAATGCAAAAAGAAAAACTGGGTCACAAGTATGGCTTTGTAATTTCTTTCTTTCTTTTTTACTATTTAAATAGAGTTATAAAACACTGAATTTTCCAAAGGGTAATCCAGAAAATTAAATCATCAGTGCTGCTGCAGGTGACAAGAAGGGTATGAAGAGACATAAATATTAACTGAGCGGATATTAATCCCCTGAACCAATAACTATTTGAATCTTTCAGTTTGTGGTATATTTTCATTGACAAAAGACACGTAACTTAAAGGGAGGTATTATGCAAAATTGACTTTTTTTTTGAGCTTTATCATGTTATGTCATTCCCTCATGAAAAAAATACCCAGAGCGTTGCTTTGACTCGTTCATGCATGTTTGAGAAATCCTTGAATCGCCTGTAGCCAAGTGGAGCTGCCTAAATGCTTGCTGGTACAAAGCTCCACCTATTTACACAAAGCTCCTCCCTGGAGCTGAGTCTGCAGCCCCACAGAGCAACTCCCTCACACAGCTCCACCAGACCTGGTGGAGCTGCACAACAGTTGAGCTTGTAATACTATTTATCAGTTCAGTCCTTTTCAGATAAAAAAAGCCTTCATCTTGTATTTTCAGGATGCCAGGGAGACCCCCCTTTTTTTTTACAATTCCTAAGAGTTACACAGTTCATCAGAAAGGGTTGGACTTTTCTCCTAGCAAAGGTTGTAAACGGCATGAAGCACTGTTGTGAAGACATGCTGAAGTGGGCACGTCTGAAATGGTAGGAGGGTCTTAAAGAGACAGAGGCCAATTCCAAGGCTATGATGCAAAGTAAAACTTATTTTTGATATGTACAGCATTTTCATAACAACTAAAGATAATATAGTTACTTGATTGTGGTGTAGGATTTAACTGTGCCTGGAAAATATTTAATTTACCCCCTTCTCTTTTAATGCTTTAATTTTAATTTAATTAGTTATCTGTGCACAAAGTTGTTGAGTGTTATCACTGACAGTGAGAGATTTGATAAATACACTCAAGCTAAGTAAATAAGCAATTTACACTGTTTATTAGGAGGAACTACTTTGTCGGGTGAAATGATTTGTTTTAGATGGGGCAGCACCCCACCGGCCTTATGGACTGGTAAGAATAGATAAACCATGACATATTATGCTTGTGTGTTTTTTAGCAAACTTTCACATATTTCCTGGCTCTAAATGATGAATTACTTCTTGGCAAGCAGGTTTATTCAGAAATTATCAGGCTCAGGATTTATTTGCGAACTAACATAGATTTTCAGTGTCAATCTTTACTCGTCATACCCTGTTGATGCAGTTCAGGTGAAAAGATCAGCACAGCGTGTGCGCACCAGCTGCATGCACTTCCTTTCCTCAGGAAATAGAGCATTTTAACATTAACAGCATCGCGTCTAATAAGTGAGCTTCAAGGCAGATTCTGCAGCGTATTCAGAGGCGACACCGTATGAAAAACACTCGCTTTCGTGCACATGCTCCAAATGTTTACAACTCTGCGAATCCAACGTGCAGAACTGCGAGCAGACCTTTGAACGCAGCCTATCGAATACAAGTGCAGCGTTTTTAAACCCGGATCACAGGTTTATTCTGTGCTCTGAAGGAGCATGAAGTTCAGACAGACAGCGAGGAAGAAGAAAACAAGACCGACAGAATGCCAAGACTCTGAAAGGTATAGCCAGAATAAAAATAAATAAATAAATAATAAAAAAAGAAAACTCAACCTTATGTCTGGGTTTGTTTTTGCAGCAATCTTTGAAACTTTCAGAGAGAGAAGAAAAGGCAGATAAGATGCCGAAGCTGCAGTGGAGGAGAATGTTCTAGAGGTCAGAGCTGGTTTCTTCAAAAACACACGTAGGACGAGGCCCCTTAGTTCACTTTCATCCTTTTTAGTAAATTCCTCAGAATGAAGGAACACGAGGTTTGATGTTTCCTCTCTTTGCAGCAAGTACAACATGGAATAACTCACTTCAGTAAAAAAAAGAAAAAAGAAAATTTGACTGAAATCCTGTGTCGGGTCAAAGAAAACGAGACAGCAGCGAGACGCAGAGTGAGACAAGACAAAGGAGAAATAAAATCCTTACGAGTCGCTTCCACCTCCACGCAGCCTGT